AATAAAAGTTACGCCTTCTTTCTTTGCGTGAACATTTGGGCGGCGTTATGCAAATCTTCCCACATTGTGATGTAGATATGTGGGGGTGTGTTAGAATGAGCCGTTTTAGGTAGGTGTGGCTGACTATTAACTCTTATAAAGAATATCTCTTTGGATTTGAGACTTTAGTCTTTGCAGCTTTACAGATCTTCTTTATGCACTAACAGCTTGTAACACTCCACAGAGAAAGGAAAAATTGAAATCGCATCATATGACCCCTTTAAATGTCAGGCTTCACAGGGTTATATATTAAAGTACCACACATTGTAACTGTTTTTCATTGAGGGATTCATGCGTCAAATTGACATGGCCTCCTCTTATCTATACTACAAATATACATCAATATATTTATATTTGTATTTTACCTCCTCAAACAGACAAAGTGCAGCCTCGTATAGGGAACAGAGACCATCAGGCGTGCGGGTCGGCTCCCTCCATTGGCTGCGATCAGCAGATGAACCCTACAACACCAGACATTCAGTAATTTAACAACATCCAACAATGTCAAACAAACACATTGGTATCAGTGTATGAGTGTATTAGTGAGCATGTACCAGTGAACGCCTCATCTGCATCAGAATGTTCATGAAGCAGTCGTATCCCATCAGCCCCTCCTGGCTCTGCTCCAGGCTGCTGATACTGGCCGATGCAGCCAGGGCCATCTCAACCCACTCCAGCAGGTAGCGCAGCGACCCTCGTTGCGCTGCCAATCCCAGCAGCAGCTCAGACGCCAACCTCCTTCCCACCACATCGGCCCCTGAGTTCCGCATGGTCACTCCTTTCAGAAACGTGGTGACCTGGGCCAGGCAGTCCAAACCCATCGGTGGAATCTTGCTCTCATTGGCCAAGGAGAGCGGCGGAAGGGAGCCCACCACTTCGATGGCTGTGGTGATGACATCATTGCAGAGGCTGATCCCTGGACCGGCCGGAGGAAGCGTCCAGCTCTGCCTGAGCAAAGCAAAAAGCAAACTAAGACCCGTTCGCACGCCCATCTCAATGAGGGCGTCTGTACTAGAGCGCGGCCGCTCGCTAACTGCTTGTAAGTCCGCAGAACCCAGAGTGTTTTCAGTCGAGTGCTGTTGCTGTTTGACCTTGCCCTTGTCATGGTATTTGTTGGAAAGTGCATAAAAAACCCGCTGCAGCACAAGCAGACGTTTGCGTAGGGCAGTGGCAAAGGGCGAATCAGAGCACACCGTCTTGGCCAGAGCAAGCTGACTGGCCAGCAGCGCATCAAGATAATGCTCCTGTTCATCGCTGGACAGACACTCTCGCTCAAAGTCCGGCAGCTGAGGGCCCTTCAGACATAGCACCTGCTGAGGGAGAAGAACCACCTCCTTATTGGCCAGCAGCTTGCCATACAGCAGAGCGACGCCTTCACGGGTGGAGATGGACTCGCTGTCCTCAGCGATCCAGGAGCTGTTGAGGTGCTCCAACCATTTTAGTTTTACTGGTGGTATCATCGCAGCCATGGTGCCACCTTAAAACCTCACCGTCACATCTGAGAGATAAAGAGGTACAGTGAATCTAGGGATGCAGCTATATTAATATTTGATACAGATGGGACAATTATTTTGGGACAATTATTACGTAAATAATAAATGGTCAATATTAACACTCTATACTATTTGTACAGACAAAGGTAATCTAAACAAAAAAAAAAAATAGGGGAATGAGCATACACAAATGCATTACCATTTTGATATTACTCTAAATATTATTATATGATATTATTGACAGATAATTATGACACTACTGTTCAAAGGTCTGAGAGTCAGTATGTTTTTTTTTAGGAAAATCTATACTTTTATTCAGCAAGGATGCATTAAATTGATCAAAAATGAAGTAAAGACATGTATAATGTTACGAAAGATTTTATTTCAATTTAATTCTGATCTTCTGAACTTTCTATTCATCAAAGAATCCAGAAAAAAACATACCCCGTTTCCACAAAAATGTTATGCAGCTGTTTTCAGCATTTATAATTAACTTAGCATCAAATCAGCATATTTGAATGATTTCTGAACGATCATGTGACACATGAGACTGGAGTAATGGCTGCTGAAAATTTAGCTTTGCCATTACAGGAATAAACTATGTAATGTATTAAATTTTATAGCCTATTGTATATTTAAATAAGTAAATAAGCAATTAAGGTTTCATTTTTAGTTGGGCAACTTTTTTTTTTACAAAGTGAATAAAACAAAAATAATGGTTTAAAAGAAGGCCGACTTAATCTGTACTGCACACATACAGATAAACATTCTTCAGAACTATCTGAGCGCACACAGCAGCGCGGGTTCACGCACGCCGAGTCTAATAAAAGATGGGATAATGTGGTTGTGAGACTAAAGAAGCCATTAAAATAAAATAATTAAGCTTATTTAATAAGAATGAATTACTGTGAGGCTTAAACTGACCAGAAGAGTCCACGAGCTAGCACAGGCTGCCCAAGACCTGACAATTGTTTGTTCTTTAATTGCAGTAAAATACTGGATCATCCCTCACCTGCCAAACCTTTATAAGGGACAGCAGCCAAACACTAAGTCACTGACTGCCCTCAGAGTTACCCAACAACAAACACAATATGATCCTGTCATCTAAAACCAGTACTTCTCATGGAAGACATGCCTGTGCGTCCAATATAGTAAATAAGGGGTGAACGCTGCCTCCTGTAGGCCTAAAAGAATAATGCGAAAACAAGTGGTTTTATCGGACTGCTTTCTGGGGCCCGTTCTTCGTACGTCGCTAAATCAGTTAGCTGGATTTGATTGTTGACGATTTGGCATGGTCTTGGATTGGTTGGTTCTTCGAAGCTCATCCCGGAGTTGCTGTCATAGCAACAGGTCCGTAAACTTTAACCTGCTCGGGAGCAGGTTTACAGGATTAGATTGCATCTTTTTAGACAGAGTTGATACTTAAAATCTGTCCCAACCACTACTACTTTACTACAAAAGTACCCTACCGATCCAGGGACAATCATTTTAAAATTATAATAATTTAAAAATTAATTTGAAAATAATATAATAATGTTGTGTAGTCTATAATACTATAGACACAGCCGGTTTTACTCATTGAAAGATTTATTAGTGATGAAATAATTACTTTATAATTGTATTGAGTCTTACACACATGCTATAGCCTACGGTTAATATGAGTCGTGCATTAATTTGAGTGATGACAGATATTATGGGAGTGGCTTAATGGAGCGCAGGAGATGCAGATAACATAGATGTTGACCCTTAAGAAACTTTCATTAATGCTGTCACGTAACAAATCTGCTTCAAAGATAAAATTAAAAGAATTGCTAATTACAGCATTGAAATCAAAATGTAAAACCTGTATAAATACTAGAAACCGTGAATATAAATATATTGGGAATCATTCAAAATAAATACATTTAAAAAATAAAATTAAAAACAGTGCACATTTCATTTATCTATTATAACATTTATGTAGTTTTGTTCGCTTGGCTGTTTCCTTATAAAGGTCCAGAAATTTGTCAAGTTTTTCGCATAGACTGTATAAAAATGGAAAAAAAAGAATAAAACTGGATTTAATCAAAGAAGCTTGGTTCATTTGCCATTTCAACCTTATTTAATCTGATCTGGTATACAAATAACCAAAGGCGGACAACATGTTCTGATCAGATAATATAAATAAAGGAAGCACCATAATTTTAAATACTGTACACCTAATACATAATATTAAATCAAAAAGCATCTTGCTTTGTGATTTTACAACTCAGAGTTATCAGATTTGTTTCATATTGATACTAGATAAAAGTGAAAAAAGACAAAATAGAAAAAAGAAAAAATAGCTTTGTAGCACCATTTAAATTTTTTTTTACTTAGAAACAGTAATCTTTTATAATCGTATGTGTGTGTGTGTGTGTGTGTGTATATATATATATATGCCAATTTTGTTTTATTTATTTTTATTTTATTTATGTATTTATTTACTTATTTTTGATGGATTAGCTCCATGTATTGGTATTGCATAATTTGGTTTAATCACAGCAGCCAGTCTTTGTGTCATGGCTCACAACAAATTATACGAACATTTACGCAAACCTCAATATCTCGGCTCAGGATAGTCCTAGCTCGTTGGAATAAAAAAATAAAAAAAAAGATCTCTAGTGCACATTTAAAAAAAAAAAAAAAATGTGGTTTTGCAATACCAAGAGGTAACTGTGCAAAAAAAAAAAAAATATATAGAAAATTAAAATGGTCAAGCAACCAACTTTACACTTGAGATGGAATGACCCTATAAATATATTAAAAAACATTAATTAATTTTATTTAACCTGTTAACCATAAATAATAAACTCATACAAAATTGTGTTTCATATTTCATGTATATAGTTCTCTGAGTGACCACTGACCATAACTGCTTTTATTCAGGTATATATTCCCCAGCACATTATCTTCAGCACATTTAACTCGCCCATGTTAATATAACGATGTGTGATCAGTGGGTGGCGGGTTATTAATGTGTCATCTCTGCTGGTCCAGATTGCTGTCCGTCAGCAGGTCTCCTCCACAGGATCTATTCAGCAACTCTTTCAGTGCTTCATTGACATCAGTATTAAACACGCTGCTAAAGCTACAGTTTGGGAAGGTGACCTGGAATGAACCCACCACTTCCTGTACCCACTGCAGCTCGGCACACAGCTCCTTTTGCAAGGCCTCATAACGAGTCTGCCTCTCCTTATATCGCTCGCTCACTCGGCTAATGCTGGCATCCACACTCCTCATGTCTTCGTGAACACCCCGCCTCTGGGCCTCGACCTTACGAAACTCATAACGGAGCTGGGACAACTCGTGTCTGATGCTTTCGCTTTCTTCTTTGTACCACATCTCTTTCTCATTGTAGATGGACACTAGTGTGTCAATGTCTTCCTGCAGGGAGTCATGAGCTGACGCCAGCTGGCAGAAAGAGCCCTCCATGGCCGACACGTCCTCCTCCACCTGTGCGAAGCGTTCAAAGTTGATGTAGGTGTTGTTAGGAGGCATGCTGGAGTGGGACTTGATTGTATACTCTTTGAGACGCTTTGTCTTCAGCTGCCTACGCTCTCTCTTCCTCTCTGGTGCTTTACTGCATTCTTCTTTATGCTCGTTAGACTGCCAACAGACAATCGGGTTAAGACTGAGAGCGATATGTAAGGACTGAGTGAGAGAAACTGAAAAAAATGAATGCCTATAAATGTCTTTCGGGCATACAATCACAAGCTGATAACATACCTTAATCCAGGGGTGATTCAAGGCATCTTGAATTGTGAGTCTCTTTCTGAAATACATAATTAAGATGGTAATTTATGCCATATTACTTGCAAAAAGCACCATATTTTGCATTGTCACAAACACAAAGCTCACATTCAAACACACATGGCCTTAGATTATCTCAGCCCTCTGCACTTACTTGGTGTCCTTTTCCAGCAGTTGTCGTATAAAATTCTTGGCAAGCTCACTGGTGTGGCCAAAGAATTCATCATCAAACTCATAGTTCATGGCTGAGATGTTTCCCAGAGTGTCTTGCTTCGTTTCTCCTAGGAAAGGAGATGCCCCACTCAACCTTCATTCAGAAAGCGTATTAGCAACATATTAGACATTTTAGAACTTTGCTATCACATATTACATTTACAGGCTTGAAAAAATAATGTTTTTGTTTACTTACAGAATATATGTTATAACACCAACACTCCTATAAAAGTAAAGCATTGAATTTAATTATTTAAAATTAAAAAAATTATCATAAACTCAAATAATTGAGATATTTACATTTATTGTACATTAAAAACTGATCTTACCACATATCTGCTTCCAGTCCCAGTGGTTCATAATTCACAATCTCTGGAGCTGAAAACAGTAAAAACAAAATGAGATGAGGAATAAATCATTAAAAATGATTGCTGACCCTCAGACGATCCAAGATGTAGAGGAGTTTGTTTCTTCATTGGAACAGATTTGGTGAAATATAACTTTACATCACTTGCTCAGAAGGAGAGTTCAAACAGCTGGTAAAACCATCACAATACTCCACAAGTAACCAACACGACTCCAGTCAATCAATCAACAAAAAGCAAAAAGCTGCATGTTTTGTCAGAAACAAATCCAGCATTAATGTTTTCAAGTTCAAACAGTGTCTTTATCCATAATATTGTGTACTCCATCTGAATCAGGAGAAAAATATGCATAGCTCAAGCACCGTTTACAAGCAAAAACTGTCCAAAACAGTTCTAAACTAATATGTCAGTACATTTTTATGTGAGAGTACAACAGGATATGGACTTTTTCACTGGAGGAAGCATTATAATGCATTATGGACACGTATTTTGGCCAGAAGTAACGGTTTAAAGTTAAAACGACTTGATGGGTTTGTTTCTTACAAACACACAGCTTTTCACTTCACAATACATTAATTGATAGACCGGAGTCGTGTTGATTACTTGTGGGTTATTGTGATGTTTTAGTTTGAACTCTCATTCTGACGGCACCCATTCATTGCAGAGGATTCATTGGTGAGCAAGTGATGTAATGCTATATTTCTCTGAGTATTCAGCAAATGTGTTTTTTTGAGCAAACTATTTCTTTAAGAATTCAAAAAGTGTGCTAGGAGTCATTCACACAGAACATGTTTTTGCATTCCACTGCGCTGCTTTTCTGTTATTTTTCTGTCAACATGCTAGACAACCATGTTTGACCACTGAACTCAGGTCTTTTGCATCTTTTGCAGCGTCTTGCGCATGACACAGCATTTAAAAAATGCTGCACTCAAGTGCATTTTAAGACCCTTGCGTGCATATTGAAGGCTACAGGCTTTAAGATTTAAACAGAACATGTATCATACCAACAAACTCTGGTGTTCCGAAGATGTTTTTAAATTCAACCCCTTCAGCAATCTTGTGGGCCAAGCCAAAATCAATGAGTTTGATTCGGGGCAGTGGGGCGTTCTTATCCAGAAGCATGATGTTTTCAGGCTGCAAACCGGAAAATAAATTACACACACAGGAGCACACCCACACTCATATGCACACAAAGGCACACTGTTCTTCTGACAGAGCATTCTGCAGCACTCCACATCTGTCAGCGCAAATGTGTTGTACTGTAATGTTCTAGGGCAGTGTTATGAGGCCAGTGGGTGTACTGTACCTTCAGGTCAAAATGAGCAATATTCCTTGTGTGCAAATAGTGCACGCCCTCTAGAATCTGTTTAATAAACTGTGTGGCTCCCTCCTCACTTAAAGACTCTTTCTCTGCTAGAAAGTCGAAAAGCTCTCCTCCAGACACCCTACAAAAATGCATAAACTCCTCTCAGTAAAGATAGGTAGGTGAACAATTTAATAAAATATGCACATTAAATATGATCCAAGCCCAAACTTATGTAATAGCGATATCATTTGTATAAGCATCAATACAAGCTCTACTCACAGCTCCAAAATCAACACCACATCTGTCTTGTTCTCAAACACGTCATGTAACATGACAATATTGGGATGGTGTATCTGCTGTAGGATGTTGACCTCTCGCTCAATCTCTTCTCGGAGCACACCTCGCCGGCTAGCAATACTCTGACGCTTCTTTATGAACTTGGCAGCAAAATCCCGGCCTGAACTCTTTTCACGACACTGCTTAACAATTGCAAACTGCCCACTGAAAAACAGTTATACATGAACAGACACATGAACAGTTATAAAACACACACACTGACACAAGCAACACACCATAATGCATTCTTTAAGTGTTTATGCTGTATATAATACAGACACTTAAAATGTATATAATATGTTGTTTATTATTATTATATATATATATATATTTGTTTAGTTTAGCAAAAATGTGAGTAGTAGCAAGTTTTTCCAATGAGCTTAGACTGGTTAAAAAATATGCCGAATGTTCCATAAAGAAGCCTTTTTGGAAACATTATACAGTTTGCATTGTGATATAAGCTCTATTTTGATTCTAAGGTGAGATACCAGTGCATTATCATGTATTTATCATGCATATTTTTAGTATGTAAGTGCAGTCAGAGATGCAAATATCTTAACCTGTATTTGGTCCAAAGTCCAGGCTTAAAATCCCGCTCTCGTTTGCAATTGTGGCTATAGAGATCCTATTCATGTTTATACATGAGTTTGGATGCTTGTTCAGAGAGGGTTACGAATATGTGAATCCATCTGTAAGCCAAGTTTGTGTGTGTGTGTGGGATGAGCTCTGAATGTGAGAGGACACTGCAGAAGAACAACAGCGTGGCTAAAATTAGTTTGACATTGGCCCAGCGCTCAACCAATGGAGGGTGACAGATCCAATACTAGCAGTGTGTGTGTGTGTGTGTGTGTGTTTGGTAAAGTGGCAGGACTAAATGTTTTGTCAGGCCTCCGGCTCTGCAGTCACTGATCAGTATGAGCGGTTAATTTAGGAGTAGCGAGCGTCCCGTCACAACCGTCAAATCAGCCTTCCCATTTCTCCCTCAAGCAGCACAGGGCACGAGATCTGTTCTTTTGGTAAACATTGGATTTTGAGTGATTGATAAATGTTTTCAAGGATGTTGAATATTATACTTCAAGTGTTGGAGAAACTACTTAAAAAGTTACTTCCCAGCTATCAAAAATATGTTTTAAGAACGTTTTGTTAATGTTCCCATTAAGTTATCAAAACGTTCCTTCTAAATGTTAATCATTGTTTTAATAATCATCTGTTAAAGACATGCACTTATTTTGTTGTGTTGACTAACACACTAAAGTATATCTCAAATTGGGGTTAATAAATAATCTGGATATTTTAATTTCTGGGTGAAGTATTCCTTTAATTTATTTGAAATGCAGTAAATTAAAACTTCATCATTGCAAATGTGTAATTACAGATATATATGTGTCATTATGTTTTGAAACAATCAGCAAGCATATGATAAACCGCCAAGTAAACAAATTTTTACCTCCCAACTTCCTCTCCAATCTCAAAGAAAGTCTCGACCAGCTGCTGCTTGAACACAGCCATTGTGATCTTATTTAAAAAAATAAAAAAGAAATAAAAAGATATTATTATATTATTATTATTATATTAGACTCATAAAAAAACAGTACACATAAAAATGTAAAATTTTATACAACCTCTATGTATAAATCAACTGCATGTCAGTTAAAACCCCTATTTAATGCATATACGGTACAGTATTTTATAGTTTGATGTGACCTATTCATGATGGTGGGGCAAATTTAGATCTTACTGAAGTGTGCAAGATAAGGAGGAGGCCTCACCTATATTTAGCCTAAATTTATCCAAGGAAAACAGGTGTCTAGAACAGAAAAAAAAATGGAAAACTCACAAAATGCACAATGGAAAAAGTCTATTTTGACAAGATATGCTTCCCATGTTGTAACACTTCTAATGTGCATTCAATGCTTCTCTCGAAAAAGAAGCACTTTTACCCATGCTTTTTTACCTGACAAACACGACAGTTTTAACTACTGTTCATCCTGGAGGTAGGTCTAATACCAGATCTCCAAAAAGACGGTGTAATGCACTCCCTTCGTTTGTTTTTAATTTTCGAAAGTTACACGCGCACGAGCAGACGTAACTGTAATGGGGAAAAATCATCAAATAGCCTACTCCAGGCACTCCCCCACAGAGGTAACTCTTAAGGATTAACCAAAAGAGTTTGTTTGACAATTCCACGTCTAGTGTGTTTATTAAAATCAGTAAGTAAAAGAACATGTACCTACCTGTCATCACCAACAAATATGTTACGTTTCTGAATCCTAGCACGCGATCATGCGACTTTCTTCACAGACCATTAGAAAAGCGCACGAGTGCCAGCAGCGTGTTTCTAAAAGTGGATACGCCACCTGTTGAACTCAAGCCTGAGCGTAAAAAACGACAACACATTGGCAGGCATGTCCCATGAATACAAAAGAACACAACATAGAGGACTCTTCTGAATTATATCCAGGTTGGACTTCAGTCACTGTCTGTGGGTCACAGTTTCAATGTTGTCCGTTCTCTCACTCTTCTATTCTGTTTACTGCTGAAATGTGTTAAAGCTTATCAACATGTGACAAACAGTTGTTTGTAGTTTTTGTAATGAGGTAATAAAACACTTGCAAATACTTCTGAGTAAATACACTCTAAAAATGCTGGGTTATTATTATTATTTTTTTTACCCAAATGCTGGGTTCAGCTTGTTGGGTAATTTTATTGGGTTATTTTTGCTAGCAATACTCTGACGCTTCTTTATGAACTTGGCAGCAAAATCCCGGCCTGAACTCTTTTCACGACACTGCTTAACAATTGCAAACTGCCCACTGAAAAACAGTTATACATGAACAGACACATGAACAGTTATAAAACACACACACTGACACAAGCAACACACCATAATGCATTCTTTAAGTGTTTATGCTGTATATAATACAGACACTTAAAATGTATATAATATGTTGTTTATTATTATTATATATATATATATGGGTAATTTTATTGGGTTATTTTTTTATATTTCTACCCAGGTGCTGGGTAGTTCTGTTTCAATTCTCCTAACCGCCAGAAGCTGAGTTTAAGCACTAGTGGATTACAGCCTACCTCACCACGTGACTTTTTGGTATTTTATCTGGACCTATGGAGCTGGCGCTGAGATAATCAAGGGATCATGAACTGAGAAATCAAAATTCCCTTGATCTTTTGACATATGTCATTGTACTATAAAAACATCCTGTAAGTTTCAGAACTCAAAACTTTCTTGTTAGTCTAAAAACAGCTTATATTGAAGCCAATCTGCCAAAATGACAGGTTGTGGAATGTGCCACTTTATGACGTAACAAGGTGTGGCTAAACCCCGCCTCCGCAGAAGAAGATCAAAGCCTGCTTTAACAGCACTGCCAGTTTAGCCCCGCCCACCGATCTACGCATGTATTGTAAATAACGAGAGAGGCAAATGCAGGTCTACCCAGAAACCAAAATAAAGATGCTCCAAAAACAACAAGAGGATGTACAGTACAGTACCAAGTTGTGGAAAAATACAATATTTTCATCGCCTTCCTTCTGATCCCAGCATTTGGAAAGAATGGATGAAGTTTATTTTTAATTTTAAAGTTCCAGATCAGTAAGAACTTGGTCCTGAGTTCACTTCATTGGCACCTCAGCCAATGAGGGCAGAGGGGCAGTAGCTCTAGCCACCTGGGCCACCCTGTGCACGGCCCTAAAATGCAGCATTCAACGGATCTACACTCAAAGCGAACGTCGCCGGGGCCACCATAGTAGTATTCTTCCCACAGATTCCTATTGGCTGCTCTTGCTGCTTGTGTCATGTCCTAAAAAAGTTTACAGAATGTTTTTGAGTATTTTATGCCTGTAAAATCATGATTTGCCATTGAATAAAAAATATTGTATATGAACTGTTCTTGTCCTATATATAAAAAAACTGATTTTAGAGTGCATTTTTATTATTTAAAATGAAAAACCTTCAATAGGTTGACTGACCCAGCACTATGTCAAAAACAACTCAGCAAATGGTTTAATTTATAAAACCCAACAAGCTCGGTTAAAATAACCCAGATGTGTTCAGTCTAATATTCACCCAGTGCTGGGTTGACAAATAACCCAGAAATGGATGTTTTTAACCCAGCATTTTTAAAGATGAATAAAAACCGACATACCGAAGCATTACGTTTTAGTTTTTTTGGCCGCAATTAATTTAATCAGAAATTTATACATTTATTTTGACAGTTTAACCACATAGACATTTTTGACTCTATGTCCCATCAAAAATATATATGAAAAAATTATTTGATTTAATTTATACATTTAAAACATGTTCTTCATAGAAGAGCATAAATTGCTACAGCATAAATTCAAGACTAATTCCTGACTGATTCTTTTTTCTTAATTTAATCTAAAACACTGTTCAAATTAAACATTACATGAAAATGTGGAGGTACATATTTAGCTGACATGCAAATTGTGAGACCTAAAATTAAAATTAAACATCACATTGTCTTTTATGCTTTGAGGCCGATAATCAAAATCATCCAAATTTATCAAAACAAGGCAAATTGCAATAATGTGAACTATCTGACATTGGTATTCTGAAACACAAAAATTCTTATTAATAATAATAAGCCTCTGAAACGTTTTTCCCCAGATGAGCATATTCATTTGTTAAATGTTAATACAGTTTATAAAAATGTGCAATGGGTATAGTTCCTGATCCAATCTGTTTTTCAAATCTAAACCACTTTTTTAGTCTTTGATATTTATACAAGTCTGAAAACTCAGGCGGAAGAACCTTCTATAGATAGTGCAACAAAATCACACTGAACCAGTAAGTCGTTATTGACTACGGGCAGATAAACTCAAACAATAGAACCTTTTACATTTGCAAGATCACACATTTACGTATGAGGAAACTAAGCAAATGAAGTGTGCCTGTTTCCTGTTGCAGTAAGTGAGTGATGCTATGAATGTTTGAAAGTGGAGAGTGGGCTTTATTGGATGTGCGCAGTGCATTTGTGCACGGAGGGAGATGCTCACAATGGAGCAAATAGAGGCAGCCTTGTACCAGAAGATGAAGATATCTGAGAAATTAAATGAGAAGCAGATGGAAAGAATGGAGGGAGTGGGGGGAGATCTCACCATGGACAGAAAACAACAGAGGGAGCACATCCTCAAGTGGTTTGTGGAGACTCAGGCTGTGCTCATCCTGTGTGATGGAAGTTTTCCGCCCTGGTTCCAGGGCTTCATCTCCAGACAGTAAGAACTATTGATAGATAAGAGGTTTGGTAACTATTTCACCATGAGCTGTAAAACCATCTGAACATATTAAATACTGTTTGTTTTTGGTTATGACATCTGAGATGGAAATGTTTATGATTGTAAATTGAGGCAGTTGCACACTGGTGCACTGTGGTAACTGTTGCTGTTTGCAGTGAAGCAGAAGATCAGCTCAAAGACAAGACTGTTGGTTGCTTCCTTATCAGACTCAGCGAAAAATCCATTGCGTATATTCTTTCATACAAGTAAGAATAATGATTTTTTTTGGTTAACACTACCATAAGATCTCATTTGTTTGTAGTTTAGCTAATTTAGTCATTTTAAGTAAATACTATATTATGTTAAAACCCCCAGGGTAGAGGTAAAATCAACTAGCTAATGGTTCTAACCTTTAAAAACAGTTTGAAGCTGCTGTGTTTTGAGTTGTTTAATTTGTCTAATGCTTTACGTTGACAGAGGACAGGATCGTTGTCGCCATTTTGTGATAAATCAAACTAAGACTGGCCTGTTTGTCGTTTCTGGTGATTCCACCACTCATAACAGTCTCACAGAGCTGATCAATCACTTTAAAACCACACCGATCCAGCCTTTTGGAGAGTACCTGACTTCATACGACACAGACATGGACTCTGTTGGAGAGGTATCAATCATTCTTTTTAAAGATGCACTCAGTAATTATTCTTAATTTAAAATGTTTAACAAAGAAATGAATAGTACTTTTAAAATCAGGTTCAATCACATTAGAAGAAGAATCTATTTATTATCAGTAGCCTAATAAAAGTGGTTTTATTTGAAGTTGATCTCATAACCAGGCAAATTTCATACAATTTATGTTAGTAATCCCCTGTTATTGGACAGATTTGATTTGAAAAAAAATCATGGTTAACTGTGTGTGTTGGGCATATTGGCCAGCACAACATAATAATACAAAAAATACCAAGTTTACCTTTAAATAGATGAAAACAAAGAGAGAATACCAGCACAGTAGGAAATGTTTTACAATGCATGTCCTATTTGTCATTCTTCAAGGACGCCAAAAACAAGCTTTATGACGTGGTTCAAAATAAGCCCAGAGTTAATGCGGGTGTTAGCGTTAAGGCTCTAAGAAGTTTATGGGAACAAACTAGCAATGTCCCGCATGGCACGCCTCCTCTTCTGTATTCTAAAAGTGCCCGGAAACTCGCAATCTCCACCTCTATTGACAGGAACAGCCTTTCTCAGGTAACCAAGTCAGCTGGTTACTATCTTTCTGGTAACCATGGCTAATTCTAGGGTGCAAAACTTTTTTTTTTTTTTTACATATCTTGTTTTGAAATTCATGTATGTGTTGTATAAATCATTAGGGTACAAAAGTTCCACCAGTGCCAAAGAAGAATACACGACTTCGGAATTCCTTAAGCGCTGGTTTTCCTGGTACAAATACATCACAAGAACAACACAGCTTTTCAGAGTCAAGGACATCTGGAAGGTCAGGTGGTGATGAGAGCGTAAATGGCAGGAAAAGTGATACCTTGGACACAGAAGGCTACAACTCTCAATTAACGTTGCCTCTCCACGATGAAAACAATCAGTCTTCAACCTCTAATTCTTGTAACATTATGCCCTCCACCCCTCAACAACCTCCTTTAGCTCCACCCAAAACAGCCTCCTGCTCTTATGCTGTCCTCGATCTTAAAAAACGCCATAGTGGTGGTGGACGAGTGCCATATACTGACAAAGAAGCCCTGCAGCCCAATCCACTCTACCAGACCTCATCTGTGGTGTGCGCTAGGCAGCAGGACCAGCCCGGGCAAGAGTATGACAACCGTATAAAGCCCATCGATAACATCCTTTTAGCAGAAAACCCCTATCAAGACATACCTGAACAACGTGACAGTAATACCTATGAGCACATAGCTGAGAGCAACACCTATGAGGACATCCGAGTTACAGACAGCAACACGTATGCAAGTTTGGATGAGATGCATCCACACTCACCGAGCATCTTGGGAAAGAAGGTGAGACCTGATATAATAACAAACAAATATATATAATTCCTATACTGATTATTTTGTATTAAATTTAAGAACTGTTATTATTTACAGAATCATAAGTGGTGGAAACTTCGACTGGAAAATAAGAAGCAATAGTCATCCGGTGAATGTAAAAGCTGAGAAAAATTTTTCATTTCATGTTTTATTGTTTTGCTACACAATTAAGTTCAGCGATATTAAGTCATAATTTTCACGTTGGTGTGTACAGTATATATAACTTCAGTATAGCATGGTTTCTACAGTTACAAAATGCTGAAAATTGTTTATGCAAATACAATGGTACAATGAGATGGTTATGATAAAACATATTTTGAAAATGTATTTGAACACCTGTTCTGATTATATCTATTGTTATCACTGAATTTCCCACTATTTTCCCAGGACTTTATCTTTCAATGTAGACTAGACCAGTGTAATTTACTATTTTGTAATTAGTATAGTGCTCATAGCCTGTCACGTTTAAACCTAGTTTCTGTAAACACAATTCAGCAATCCACACTGTTTGTATGATACAATAGGCTTTCTCTACACATCTGAACCCATAATACTGCACAGCATAACTGAATAAAGCATGGGGATAATATACAATAAGTGCTCTGTATGAGGTTAGTATCGAGTGATTGCATTGTGCTTCCTATCTCCTTGAAAGTGATGTGCTCCCCTATGTTCATATTGAATGCTGTAGAAAACAGTTTAGAATATAGACCTTCTGTAGACCTTCTGTCATGCCTATATTTTGCCCTCCACTATAGTATTACGTGATCCATTACAATTCGGATAATAGCTGCCTTAATGGATGGTGATATACTCATATCTCTAAGCCACTGAGACATTTCCCCATGGTTTGGACTCTAAATATTGATCCACTTACAACCTCATGATGGATTGGTCAGCTTTTGGAGGTTTCTTAACAGACTTATGCTATATAATAAACTGTGCTTGCATATACTGTATATATATATATTTTTTATTTATTTATTTATTTTTTATTTTTTAATTTATTTATTTATTTATTTTTTGCCATCAAGCTAGCAGCAAAAAACAATCTTTCAGAAGCTTCACTGTATTAGATTTATATAAAGCTTGTGCTTAATTTCATGATAATTATACATGTTTATACTTTAAATTGTACAGTAGCCTACTCACATGATGAAATCAAGTGCATTGAAGATCATGTTCTCAAAATGAAGAAGTGAGAGCTTTCCATCTCTATCCAAGCCTGCTTACTTTATTTCCCTTTGGGCATCCAGTCTCCTCTTTAATTCACTGAAGAAGACATGTACACAGGTCATTCAAGATATGAACAAAACAATCTCTCCTTTAGAAAGTGATCAAGACCGTTAAAGGCAAACAGCCCTTAAAAAACAGATATGTTATATGTGGGCCATTTGTGTAGAGGTACCAAGTTGGGGGCCAGCTTATGAAGTTACCCATTAAGTTAAAAACAGAAGAAATCAAACTTTCTTTATTTCAGCTAGATCTGAACTAGAGGGAGACTGACATATAATGTGCAATTATCTCAGCCTAAAACAGAACTGTGAGAATGGCGACATGTAGGCTAGTTGTTAAATAAAATATTAGGATCACATTAAAGGGGTCATATGATGCGATTTCAATTTTTCCTTTCTCTTTGGAGTGTTACAAGCTCTTGGTGCATAAAGAAGATCTGTAAAGTTGCAAAGACTAAAGTCTCAAATCCAAAGAAATATTCTTTATAAAATGTTAAGAGTCAACCACGCCTACCTAAAACGGCTAGTTCCAACACGCCCCCACATGTCTACGTCACGATGTGGGAAGATTTGCATAACGCCGCCCAAATGTTCACGCAAAGAAAGTAGGCATAACTTTTATTCTCGCTGTAGTATTGTTGTTGCCGCGGCCGCCATGTCGTGAAGATGCTGTGTGTTTCGTCGGAGCTGATCCGTGCTGGTCGCGGAGTCCAGCCCGGGGTCGCCACATGCGGTTGCTGCGAGCCCTCCGGACGCTCCTTCGTCGAATCCGCCGGCCGCGCCGTTCT